TATATATATCTATATATATATATCTTCTTCAAGTTCTTCTCTCGTTTGTTTAATCCGCACACAAACACAAATATTGAAATGACAATTAGGTGTTTTACAGGATGATTCGTGCTGCAAATTTAAAATGATATTTCTTTATATGGCATTGATAAGACGTTTTACCTAAATGTACTCAGTATTTTGCAGGTGTTAATATTTCAGTCCCTGCTCATGGATATTGCTACCAGAAGGCCTCCACTGAAGCAATGTCCGTCTGTTTTTAATGTGAAAAATGATATGAATAGAGATTTTTTTTTAAGATTTACCTTGAACATTTACACAAACATTGTGGGGATCAATGCACATTCAGTGTGATCAGAGTACTTTATACACAGTTATACTGTAAATCCTCAGGTGTTACATACATACAGTATAGTACATAACATGATGTAAAAAAAAAAGACGAGTATTTTGTGGTTTCTCTTTGAGAGCTTCTCAACATTTGTGATGCGATGACAATAAATGTGAGTGAAAAAGTCAAGTTTAATATTATTCAAAGTCATTTTAATTAAAGTTTGACGTGTCGAGTCTTTGAAGTCAGCGGGAGTGACGTTTTCAGATTCACTTGCGTGTCGTTAGTCTTTATTGGTTTCTTTGTTTTAGTCTGCTTCCTCCAGGCTCAGTACCATTTTTCCCGCCTTTCTTTCTCCTCTTTCTCTCTTCACCTCTCCTCGTCTTCCTCACCCCTTCTCGCTGCACAAGATAAGGACTCCGTGAAGACGCTCTGCAGCTCTGTGAGAAACACCGCTCCATTCATTATGCTGCGATAGCGCCCGTCTGTTTTGGACCTTCAGATACGAGTATGACAGCTCTCCACTGTACGGTTGCATCCTGATGAAATATTACACCGGTCGGAGGAGCGTAAAGTGAAGAGGAAGATGTCGGTGCTGCCGTATCTGTTTGTTGGTAGAAAGCAGATAGTATGTCAGGAGACTGGAGCTGATTTCTTTAGGGCGACACCGATTACATAAATATTCACCGGCACTCACGATGTACTCTTCCTTCATTAATATGTGCCTCATTGATATATTATATTGTCAAGCTACAAACAATTGAAACATTTTCACAGCATGGCCGAGATGTGCTCAGATAACGGACACTTCACTTCCTCCACCAGTGAAGGCCTTTCTATACCGAGTCATTATTCTAGTGGCCAAAGAATACGCACTGAGTTACAAAAACCTTTCTTTTATTTCAGAGAATGTGGGAACCACAATATTAACCAGGTGGCAACATCCAGTTCTGCCGAGTGTAGTCAAAGCTTCATGTGTTAAAGCTGCATTGTCTCTAGTGACCACCAGGGGGCGACTCCTCTGGTAGTATAGAAGTCTATGAGAAAATGACTCTACTTCTCTCTTGATTTATTACCTCAGTAAACATTGTAAACATGAGTTTATGGTCTCAATCTCTAGTTTCAAGTCTTCTTCAATACAGCATGATGTTCATTTAGTACATTATGGTCCAATTAGAGTCAAACAGACCATAAAGCAGGGGATGCTTTAGGGGCGGGGCTACACGGTGATTGACAGGTCTCTACCACGGTAGTCCCTCTATTTTTTTTCGTTTTCGTCTGAAAACTTTAACCCTTACAGAGTGTTTTCACTTCATTCAAAATGTCTTATTCAGCGTTCGGTTGTACTTCACCTTCTCGTCTCACTTATGATTGCAAAAAAAACAAGATGGCCACGGTTAAAAGGCCGAACTCGAAGTCTTCAGAGCAGCAGTCCACAAATCAATAGGTGACGTCACTGTGACTGCATTCACTGCAATAACCCTAAATATATATGTTCCTCTTGATCACAAAGATCACTGCTCTACTGTCACATCTGTGAGCGATGTTCTTGCCGCTGTAAATAAACGCACATATTCTGCAGGGACTCCTGTCAGCGCTGCTCACTTCCTGTTTCCTCTTCCAATAAGTCGGGCCAAACCGTAAGAGAGCATTAAATACAATAAGAATTTACTCCGCTTAACTTCATGTGAATCATGCGAGATAATGTTAAGTTCCACGATTACAAAGCATTATTTTAGATTACACCCACTAGTTGAATCAATAGAAATGTTAATGTTTCACATCATTCAATTACACAAAGTAATACAAATAAATGATGCAATAATCACGTCATGATTTGTTGCTGGATGACTTTATGTTTAAATATGTAAATGAGGCAACATGTTATTAAATATGTGCTTCATGCTTTTCCAGAACATAAATGTGACCATTGTTTCATTTTGTTGACATATTTATGATATTTGTATCAATCTATCTCCATGTTTTTAGTGAGAATATGTGTAAATGAGTCTCTGAAGGCAGTATCTAATGGTAACGTTTGTTCATTTACGTCTGTAGATTCACCAAAGTAGTAAAATAAATGTTTTAGTTCCTCTTGTCTGAAAGAAGACAAAAAATAGACCTAAATTGATCATTGCATGGGGAAGATAATGTTTAGATAGTAAACTTTGTGTCCTGTTCTTCCTCAGCGTTGTGCACTGAAGAGTGTGCCCACGGACGCTGTGTCTCTCCCGATACCTGCCAGTGTGAGCCCGGCTGGGGAGGACTGGACTGCTCCAGTGGTGAGTTCATTGTCATCGCGTGAATGTGGACAAACCATCATCACAGGGCTGACCATCTTTTTCTCACACATACATGATGATCACAGCTGCCGTGTCTTTATGAACACAGTAAACATGACAGGAGGAACCGTGACATGAACTGATTTTTGACGCTTGCTTTACACGTTTTACATCATCGGTGTTGAAGCCAGACAATCGTGATATATCGATATTGATATTTGAGATTCAAAAACTGTAAATAGTGACGCACCACCAAATATTAACTCAACATTAACAAGCATTTAAACGTGGACAAAGTGCAACATTTTACAGTTGACAAATAAGCTTTTGCTCTCTGGTGGAGAAACGATGTGAAGGAGAAACTGTTTGTCTCTGCTGAGACTTCTTGTTCCTTAACAGCAGACACATACTGTATGTTGGTACTGAGGTGTCTGTGATCAGCAGATATCGGCTGATAATATCAGGCATGGCGATGACTTCTTAAAATTTGTGTTAGACCCTTTTTACAGCTGGCGTCATCGAAAATGTGTGTTTTTACCCCAGACGGTGAATTTAAAACTGCTTGCAGCATCAAAATATGTGGTTGTTACATGTTTGGTTGTCAGAATCGATATTCTAACAGAAGTGCTACAGAATTCAGACAGAATCACGACCGTTTCAGAGCAGCAGCTGTTAAAGTTTAATGTGTTAACTGGGGACTTAAAGCCTAATGCATCCGTGGTTGCTCGTAGTGACCACAGACTGTATATAAGTCGTGATGTCAGGAATTGTGGACTGATGTTTTAAAGCCTTAAATTTGGCCGTTGCCATTTTGGATTACGGTCGTCGCCATCTTGTTTTTTTCCCAGCCAGTGAACAGGAAGTGATCATATCTGGACTGAGGAGGAGTGACGTAGAGACGCCGTATACGTCTC